AGTTTTCTAGGGGACTGCTGAAAGCATGAAAATGAAAATTTTTTATAAGAAAATCCTTGTTGTTAGGTTGGTGTGGGTGCTTCCTTCTAACAACACCCCTCGGATCTCTGTCTCGACTGTCAACTAATTTTGACGAAATTTGCCCTCAATAAACACTTCCCGAATTTTACAAAATCCGTTCGAGAATGGTATTAGCTAGCAACACAAGAATGGAACCAACCAAGCAGCAAGCGCATCAGATGCCTGATGTATAGCAGCATCCAGTAAAACACATTCGGTTGTCACGCCATCAGCGGTTAGCGCAAAGAAGTCGGGCCGGAAGCCAACAGAACGATACTGCACATGCCGAGCACCGAAATCCTCGGAGATACGTTGCACTGCTGCTCCGTCGGTTATCTGATCCACCACATTTCTGAGATAGCTGCGCAACGAATCGGTCAGCTCATAGCGTTGCTCCTGTAGTGAAGCATTGCTTCATGCGAACTTTTACAGCTAAGGGACGAAACACAGACTGCAAACTTACTTGATTCTTTCGAACATGTAATTTTCAAAAAAACCTTACTAAATATTTTATACCTTTATGGTTTTCGTGCGAAAATTTTACTCTTATGGATTTTTCAAATAGAGTTCCCGTTCGCTTTTACTCTAATAGTCATTTTTAGGAAATTTCCCACCAAAAAAATTTTCCAAAAAGTGACATACACTTTTTTCATAAGTCCTACCAATCTTTTTATCTTTTTCTAATCACATTAGGCGAGCCCCTTCTGACTTTTATTTCTGGATCGAACGGCCTGGCGCAGTTGCATCCATTCGAAGGGTCTGGAATAACACTAGCACTAGCACTGGATACCCACACCAATTTTCCGAGCGGTCTTGTTAGTATTGAGGTAAATAGGTTATGACTCTCCCGTAATAAATCAGTGATCGAAGGCTTACATCCGAAAGAGCATCCACAAAATTCCGGAAATCATCACGTTTTTCGTAGATCCGTCGATATATCCTTTCCGCAATGTCATCTTTTGCTTTATCCATACATCCTTTCACGATCTGTCGATGTGCTAAAGGCAGTGCTGAGAATTTTCTTCCCTGACTGCTTACACTTGGCCTACAAAAACTTATTTTTTTAAAAAAAAATTCAAATTGTTTTTTGTGGGTAATAAAGGTTACGATTACAAAATCTAGGACACTTCAAGAAGGGCCTAGCGTAGTTTCCCTTAGCATATGGTTGCACCTTAGGATCATCAAAATCAGAGAAATCTTGGCGATCAAATTGATCCATCACATGTCCTTGTTGAAATTGGCGGGTTCAAAACATTTCAAACTTCGAGAGCTTTTGCGGAGACTTGTTGTTGTTTTCAGAAGCATCTCTCTGGGTGGAGATTTAGCAAGAGGAAGAATGAGGGAATGAGTTAAAGCAGCAGCAGCTTCCCAGTTCCTATTTCCACTAACCCATTTCTCCTCTTTCGGAAACAAACAGTGCATATTTTCACCGTATTAGCACTACTCTTCA